ACCCGGGGCAGTATTTGCAGGGCTGTGCGTTGAGCTGATTTTAAGTACAGCATCTAACCAAAAGAAACAAGTGTGTCAAAGCTAGTTCTTAAAGAAGAAAATCATATAGGTTATGGCTAAGGGAACTCATAGGAAACATAAATTTACATTTTATTTTAAATGGAATGTGAACTTAAGTGGAAGCCAGATGGGTAATAGTTTCCTGTAAAAGGTGCTTTTCTGTCGTTTATCTTTTCAGGATTGTTGGTAGGTGATTTTTGTTAGCAACATCATTGCTGGTACATAGTACTTAACATCCTGTAAAAGAAGGGCTTTCTCATAAGCACTTCACATTGACAGGAGGTCTTTTTTCCCAAAGAGCTTACAGTTCAAATGGAGGGAGAGAAACAGATTGGAGAGGGCAAGCTCATAAGCACAGGACTGGTGATGACAGGGAGTTTATAGGGCTTCTGGGGCAGGTTTGTAGAGGATGTGAAAGGAAATGAAAAAAGCAAGGCCAGTAGTGGGAGAGCAGAAGTGAAGACAGCAAGAGGAGCAGGAGTGGAGTTCAGCAGAGGTGAGAGATTGAGCAGTGGGGGAAAGGGATTGGATCAGTCACCAATTAGTCATTTACGCAGTGGGAACATCTAGATAAATACTTTAGGAGTGATGAGTGTTAATGTGGTTTCTAAGTGACACAGTGTAGGTGGTTTTCACAAGCAAACAGTGTTCATTGTAAATGTATAAACTGATTTTTTTTTTTTTTTTAAGATCACAGATCTTTTCCTCTACCCACACTGTTCTGACACTCCTGGATTTCAGGCTTTCTATTGGTTGGAAGATGTATTTATTTTTTTACTTGCAGCCTTAAGATTGAAGTTTAGAAGAAAAAGCATGATCGGTGGAAGGAAAAGACTAAATTCCCACGAAACTTGGTTATATTGAATGTAAAATTGTGTTCTGCATATGGATTGAAGAACTTCTGTCAACTGCCTGCAGGCATTAAACGTGTCCTTTAAGCCCTTAGCTGCTCAGCGTATGTTAATAGAAGAAGGTGATACACTTCCTTGACTGAAGTAGAGGGAAAAATTACTTATTTTAGGCCACAAAATTAGAAAAAAATAATACAAGCCTGATTTGTCTACGTCCTACTCATTTGTCTGCCCTCTTGGTACAGCCAAGGAACATATCCTACAACCACCTACTCTACCCACCTTTGAGAATTTCCTTATCTTCTCCTTGTCTGCCCTTGTTGACCATTATCTGTCCTTCTAATACTAATTCTAGATTTAGTTCCTCACCTCCTGTGCTAGTTTACTCCAAGATAATGCATGGGGTGGGAGCTGTTATGTAATGATAACATAACGTAATTAGCATCTACAAGGGGCTGAATTAAAGCATGAAAATACTGCATTGAAAATATGCAGCGGGTGCTTGAAGCAGAGTTTTACTTGAATGGATGTCTTAGCTGTTCAACAGTTTTTTGAAGAGCTGGGCCATGGTTTTGTGAAGTAGAAAGTATAGCTGAAGGAAGAAGGCTTGAGGGATCGTGTTAGTTCTGTCTGCTGGCTAGTTCTTTCACCTTCACTCACCAGCTTGTGGGGAATTTTCAATCAAATTGGACAGAGTTGGAAAACTCAAACATAAGTTGATCCATCTGCTAGGAGAAAAGCTGTATTGAGGGTGGTGATTGGATGGGTCCTGAAGAGATGAGACCGGTCACTGAAAACATGATAGGAATTCTGGGACCGTTGGAAAAGATTCATATGAGGACAGAAGATACAAATCCAGGAGAAACCAAACTTCATATATTCTTATATAGGAAATACAAAAGCTAAATATGAAAAATTATTACAGCAGCTAACCGTATGAGGATTATGTTGACAGTATTGTAACATGGGTTGCAGATGTGTGTTTTGACCTGACAGCTGAGATGTAGCTACCTTTATAGGTCTTTCTGACCGATTAGTATTTTCTGTCAGATGTAACTACCATTTAACTATAGCTTTACTAATGTGATGCTGCAGTGAACTTCTTGCTGATGGAGTGTGCATGAACACATGAGATAGTTCTTTCTTATCATTGAATTCTTTTTTCTGAAGTTTTGTCTTGAAAGTTTTGTGTTTTTATCAGCCAAGCTTGGCATTGCTTCCCTATGGAAGTGGGGTACTGCAGTACAGTCAAGTTCACTATTGTGAGCATTAGCTTTCCTAAATACAATGTTAAGCAGTCATATATTCAAAAAAGAAAAAGGATGGGAGGTAACTCTTTTGTATTTCTTTCAGAGTGTTTTGCGCTTCTCATGGTTACATTCCAAAGCTCTCAAGGGAACATACTCACTTGGTAGAGCTTGTAAGCCATGGGGAATGTTTTACAACTCCTGAGGAATATTACTGTGTGATGCTGAAAAAGCTTCCAAGTCCGACATAACAGAACTTCTCTTGGACAACAGTAGTAAAGGGGGAAGACTGATCATTAAATCCTCTCACTGTCACTGTACTGTTTTTTTTTTTAATTTTTGATTGGTTGGTTTTGGTTTTTTTCTGCCAGGATTCTTTTTTTGCCAAGCTAGCTGATATGCTATATTTGGAAGCATGGCTGTGTTGTGCATTGCCAAGCTTGTTCGTGTCAGTACTCTCTCTTTGCAGAACACTTTCAGGAATTTTCAACAAAGTTCCTTTGAAAGGAAACATGGCCCAGTACTTAAAAATACGAGCTGGAAGATGACCAAGAAAGCGAATGTTTTTAATACAAACAAACAAAACCCTAAAACTTCCAAAACTTAAGCAAACAAACAAAAAACTATATTTGCTGCACCATTGCTTCTTCAGATATTTGTGGAATGTGCAATTTCTCTCAATCCTGAAGGTTTTCTGTTTTTTTTTTTTCCCCTCTCATCATGCCTATATTATATATTGTTTCTTCTGTTGTCTTGCGTGTACAGACAACAGTCTCTCTTTATTACTTTCAGATACACCCTTGTACTTTGTTTCTGAAACTTTGTTTTAGTCTTTTATAAAACACTAATGCTTCATGTCTAAAATTAATTTCAAATGTAAAAAAAAAAAATCAAAAATTACCAAATTCTAGGGATTTGAGGGATTTCTTTAGAATTGAAAACAAGCTGTAGGATCTGTTTCATAAGCTGTATGATACGAATGCAGTTTTACTTACAAAAATAGTTTCGCAAAGAAACCACATTTACTTTCTTTGTTTTAATTAAGTAGCCACATTGTGTCTCATGTCCCATCATCTTCTGTGTAAATATAGCATTGCTTAACTAAGCTACTTTTCCCCAGGCATGAAGCTGGATTATATATTGTATGTTGGTTTTAAGAAATCCTGAAAATACTTTCATAGTATACTAATTTTTGAGAACTTTGACTTTTATACCAGATAGGGTATAAGGGGTAGAGGGGTGGTATTTGGAATTTTTTTCTGCACAAGTATGTATCATAGCAATTTCTTTCAAAGCATTTTTTTAATTAGAAAATATATAAATTTAGTGTTTATATATATATATTATACTATATACGTATTAGATGCATTGGGTTTTTGGTAGCTATAACTGTTTTATGTAACTGAGTCAATAATTCAGTTTTTGAACAGAAAAGTAATCTAGGAAGTAGAGACCTGTTTTTCTGATTGGTGAATTGAAAAAGAAAGTACATTTTAGATCTCAAGATAGGAAAGTGTTTCCTTTTAAAAAACTAACAAGAGATCTCCAGACATGACTCTTCTAATTTTGCTTTTCTGTGCAAGACACTTGCTGATTTAATCGTGCCTATAGGATTTTTATTTCTCCATAGTTCTCATGACAAAAAAGCAGTAGTTTAAAGATATTTATGTCATCAAAGGAGAGAGAAAAGATATTTTCAGGACTGACTTCATGCTCGTATATGGGTAGTGTGATATTGTGAAAACATGTTTGTGATTATGGTGCAGGTAGCTGCATGACTCTTATTCACAGGATTTATTAGTTCTTGTGGTATTTTGCTGTGTGATACCTAAAACAGTAGGATCTGAGACAGAGGTCTTGTAGCTGCTTTGAACTCCTAACTTGTAGAGACCAGATTTTCACTACATGTTATATTTTTTTTTGGTTTTAAACATCATAATCAACAAAAAAACTAGTAATACAAATTTTCTTTGTTCAAATTTTCTTTTATATTTTTATTACACTTTAAGTTCATATGTTTTGAAATTAGCTTCATCCTTAGATATATCCTTTTCACTGCAAATAGGTAGTGCTTTCACTGCAAAAATAAATTCTTACTTATTAAAATGATTCTTACTATTCTTACTATTCTTACCATTCCAATGTTTCATATGAAGAAAATTTCAAAACACAGTGCTGACTATGCCCCATATAGCCTCATGTATTGGTGTATCCTAAAGTTGTAATTGCATAGTGGTGCTTTTCATGACTCCGTGTATAAAATGCAAATAGTATTCCTTGGGGGATTGTTTCTTCTGGTGATGAAATCTGCTTTGGATGTTGTATACCAAGCAGATAATTCTCTAGAAACAAGATCAGAAAATCCCAAAACAACAACAAAAAATGGAGTACCTTTTATTACTACTCATTCAGAATCAGTAGGTTAGTGCAAAGGCAGATCTTAATTCAGTTGGGGTCCAGAGTGCAGCTGATAGGATACAATAACATCTGTTTTAATGTAGTTTGGATACTTGGATATCCATAATACTCATTCAGACTAGTGATTTCACAAGTGACATGACTGGTTTTTCTCTTCTCCAAGATTGCTAGTTCCTAATTCTCACAAAGTAATTAATTTGCAATTATGTAAAAAAAAAATGCATTATATTGCATTTAACTATTACCATGTGTTCAGACCATTCAAAGAAAAACACTCATTGCACATGTGCATACATGCCAGAAACAGTTCTTCAAGCTCCATTTTTATTAGTGACTAATACCAGGAGATCTCATCTAGTCATCGTTACTGTATTTAGTATCTTAGTAATTGGTGACAGTTTTCTCATTAATCTGTTTTAGTTGGAAGATGGGGAAGAAGAGCCGAGTGAAAACTCAGAAGTCAAGTACAGGAGCCACGACAACAGTATCTCCAAAGGAAATGTTGAATCTAATTAGTGAATTATTACAAAGTAAGCTTCATTTTATAATTGTTTGGGAAAAGGGATGGTGTGGAGAACAGTCAAAAACAAAAAAAGTTTGCCCTCTTATATAAGCCAATGAATTGCATTCATTTCCTATAAGCAGGGAAACTTCCTTGCTCTTTCAGCCTGCCTAAGATTGTATCCAGTTCCTCAAAGAATGTGCCCCTATCAGTGTACACTCTTGTAGGTGTACATTGGACATACCATGTTTTTGGCAGCTATTGGCTTTACTTTTCCACACATGCATTGATACTGGGCAGGGATTAGATAAAAAACTACTCTAGGTCTACACTGTCTATTCTTGTAAATCTCAAGAATTATGCTGTGTCTTTGTGACATTTAGACAGGACTCTGAACTGAAGTTTGGATATTGGAGCAGACTACCTGTGGAAAGTAACAACATGACTCCAATTCAACTTCAATGATATTTCTGTCTCTTAAAATTGTAGCTTTTCTTATTAGGAAACTTTAATTACTGCTCAATTCTGGTGTGTAAACCAAAGTCTTTTTCCTTCTTTTGAGGAGGTTGGAACTCATCTGTTATTTCTGCCAGTTCGTATGAATTGACTACTAATTGACTCCTACTAAGAAAAGCAGAGCATATTTCTGTGTCATGGTGCTAAAATCCTGTTTCCTCTGACCGCTTTCACTGGTGACTGTGGTTAGCCACACTGTTGTTGAAACACACACAGATTTTCATATTGTAGAAACATCAGAAACTTATCTTAGAAAAATTAGGATATTTCTTTAACATTGTTCACAAAGAGCAGTGTGGAGTTGACATAGTGGTTTGATGCTTATCCTACAGCTGGCCTGTGCTTTCAGTGTTGTTACCAGAAATAACATACAAATCTCCAAGCAAAGACAGGTTTCAGCTGGTCTTTTTGTCAAGCTTCTGTATTTTGTTCAGTGCAAATGTTTCAGATCAGTCGAGTATAGCAGGTCAGATCAAGAAATTGAGAACACTGAGGACACTGAGACATTGTGGATATGATCCACAGCTAAAGCTTGGCTAAATATCTCTTTACATGTCCTTGCCATACACATGCATCTTGCAACAATGAATTGAAAGTAGGCAGGTCATATGCATATACTAGTAAATTTCTCAATTTCCCAACTTAAATATTGCTGCTATTGTCATTTGCATATGTAAAAAATAAGTGTGATGACAAGCAGGCCAATGTAAACAGTGTGTTTTGCTTGAGATTATTGGATTATTGCTTGGATTATTAAAAACACAGAAATTTTGTTTTTTCTTTGAGACTAGCTACTTTACTTTTTTGAACCTTTTTTCACTTTTTGTTTTCTAAACATTTACTCTTACTTATGTCTGAAAGAACAAACAAAAATGGATGAGTAAAATAACTTGGGATAAGTTACATCATTAAATTTTGAAAAAGTCTCTGTTACTTGTCAAACAATGGGATGCTTGTAACAGAGATCATAGCATTCATTAGGTAAATGTTTGAAGGACCTATAAGGAAACCATGACCCTTTCTTTGGTGTTAAAAATATATACTGTATTAAAGTGAATACTTAATTTTGGCATCTTTTTTTCTCCAGAATGCAGCAGTCCTACCCCAGGCCCTGGTAAGGAGTGGGAAGAGTATGTGCAAATTCGTTCCTTAGTGGAGAAAATACGCAAGAAGCAGAAAGGTAAATGTGGAAAAAGTGATTTTAAGACAAAGATTGTAGCTCCAGTAGACTGTTAATTTGCTTGGAAAGTTGTGACTGTTCATTGTTTAAAGAAAAATATTTTTCACTGTTATAATGTCAATATTGTGCAACCTTATTGTTCTGGGATAAAAATACCTCTTCTCTGACCGGTGCTTGCTTTTTACACTTGCAGGTCCTTCTTAAATCTTTTGATGGGTGTAACTGCTGATACTCACCATCTGAATACACATTATCATGGACAAGTGATCTTATGATAATTTTGTATGATAAAAGATATATCTTAAGGTTTGGGTGAGGACTATATTTTGAGGACTAGAAATAAAAGTTCTTGGAAAGCAACAGACCTTTCTGATCACAATCTGACCCTCTGCCTCTATAAATCTGACATATTTTGAATTTTAATTTGAACGTTTAATTTTAACTAAAAATTTTACTGGACATAGAAATAGTTTCTGCATTCAACCTAATGAAAGTAAATTATGTCAAAATAAAAACATACACATATGCAAAATAGGCAAGCTAATAAATTTCTCTTATAAATCAAGCACGTAATTAAAAAAAGTGTATATCACAATTAATGTGGAGTTTTATCACTACTTTTCTAAGGTCTATGGTATGTTTATTTTTGAGTTAAGAACAGTTTTCTTTCAGTATGTTCCAGTAAACTCGGTGACTTGTTGTTAGTACTTTATTTCCCTATCAGTTTTCTTTTTGGGGCATGTTCTTAAAAATGCCCTCCATGTAATCTTAATACAATTGATCTGTTATTTCAATTGTATTTTTTTATTGGCAAATGAATAAGTTTTTAACCAGTCTAACCAGGGAATAGATAGATTTCATCTCCAAATACCTGAAAAGTCTTGAGACTCCCCCCCCCAGGTACTTATATAGTAAAGGCAAAAAAGCCAGATTCCTTTTAAAATGGAATTTCAGTGCTTAGGTGGAACAAACTATAGGGTGTACTTGCTGGAAGAAGCAGACTGGACTCAGGCATTTGAAATGTCCTTTCTCGTATTTTTTAAGTATATGTTAACTAATATATAAAAACCTTCATGAAAGGTTGTTTTAAACCTCTGAGCATCAGTTATTAGCAGAGGACATATCAAAGAATGAATATTATTGTTTGAGTAACAATAATAACAGTAACAGCTGTGTAGGAGATAGATTCGTTGTTCTGCTCACTCATAAAAATGTTAAATTAAGCTACCTTTTAAATATAGCCATTTTCATGAAAATATTTCGTTCACCATAGATACAGTGCGTGTAATCTAAAAGACCTTCTCTTTTTCATTTGGAAAATATATTTTAAAATATGAGAAGTATTGGCCTGCATCATATACGCAGAAATCATATAACAGAAATAGTATTTCAGAGATGCTTACAGAACAGTTCCAAATAGAGGCTGGATTTTAAAAGCTTCCAAGTAGCCTTATACAGTAGTAAAAGTTGGAAGTAAAAAGAGCAGCCCTGGACAGTATAAACACCTATCAAGTTCTGTAGAAGTTACGTAGCTAGTCTGACTGCATGTATGAGGACTTGCTCTAAATATATTCTACAGAAAATAACATACTAAAATTAATCTAAAATAAAAGAGAAATGCCTCTTAATGCCTCTTAAAATGCCTTTAAAAAAAAAAAAAAGGGGGGGGGGGGGGGGGGCGCTAGATACGTGTGTTCAAAAAAATATTTTACATGTCTTGCCAATATACAAAGAATGTAGCTTAGGTGATATTTGGACTGTCATGTAAAATAGGGACTTCATTTGTTCTGGGTTTGGAAATACCCAATTTGAGGAGGGAAAAAGAAACACTGAAAATTGTTTAAAATATCCTAAATCTCATTTTGTAAAACCCTTTTAATCACTAGTGCATTCATCACCTGTACTTAGCTGGTATGTTTTCGGATGTAAACAACATGCTGATCACATAGGGCAGCTTATAAAATGGCCCAAGTTTTTCAGGGAATTTTGAAAACTTAACATGATCTGGCATTAGAGTTTGGACTGAGCAGAACATAGGCGAGAGGCACAGACATTGCTGGCTGAGGATAGCTGAACTAACTGCTCTACTAAATAAAAGCTGAGCAAATGAGTGGCACCTGAGATGTCACTCGTGCACTGCATTCGTTTTGGAGAAATAAATTTTAAACATTTTGGGAGAGCTCTGTGATGTTAAAAGGATGATCAGTCCTAATGATTGCTTAGATTTTAGTAGAACCATATGCTACTGGAAAGAACTGAATTCCTAAGGAGGAGGTTTGAAATCTGCTTATCATCAGTTCCAGCAGTGAATTAATGAAATTGTGAGCTGCTATCAAAGTTTGTTCCCATTGTCTATATTAGCATGTCGTGATTGCATTTATCAATAATGTTAAGCTGGTAAATATTTGCACTTGTGGCTTATTTAAAAGAGAAAGGGGGAGGAGGGCATCACATTTCTTCACAACCCGGTTTAGGTGGCTGTTTTTTTTAAGATGACTGGTAAGCCAATTTGGCAGAACGTTTGAGTTGATGAAAATGGGGTATGACAGTTATATGCTATTGAGTAACACTTAACAAAGACCATTTCTGACTCAGCTTCTTCAAAATAGAACTGCAGGGAGGTAGTTATGTTTTTCAGATTTTGGCTTTTTATTAAACGTCTTTATCTTTCTGAACCCTCTTATTTCTGAATTTGTCTTTTAAATTGCATATATAGGTTTGTCCATTGTCTTTGATGGGAAGAGAGATGACTATTTTCCTGATTTGATAAAATGGGCTACTGAAAATGGAGCATCCACAGAGGGTTTTGAAATATCTAACTTTAAAGAAGAGGGTTTTGGTTTGAAGGCAACAAGAGAGATAAAGGTAAGCCTGTGAATGTTTGACTAGATTAGAAAATCGTGTTTAGAACATAGCTTCAAAGCTCTGAAAAACTCATCTTCTTGCTTTCCCACCATTTAAATGTTAATGAAACTATTATTATAAAACACCCTAAACTATGTACTTGAGAAATAAAGTTATTCATTAAAATTAATATTATTTTGCTGAGAAGATATTTTTTAGTCACTTTTCTCTTTTTCCCAAAGAGTTAGCCTAATAACCAGCGTCTTCTGCCCCCATTGATACAGCCCTCTCTCTCATATTTTTGACTACTTAATCTCTTCTTTCATATCCCTTTTAAATCACTGTTCTTTTGGCCTTATGAAGGGGTATTCTGACATTTATTTTGCTGTGAATTGAAGAAACAAAAGAACCTGTTGTTGTTTAAAATGTCTGTGTGTGCGTGTGTAAGTATATGTACATACATATAAACCCTTAGACAGGAACAAACACAGGCACATGCGCAATTACCTAACAATTAAAGGGTGAGCTTTTGAGTCATTAATGGGCAATTAGTTGTTGTAAAATGTAAGTGAGAATATGGTCATGCTATATTACATTTTAGGGGTTTGGTAGAAGAAAACTAGCATTATCAGTTGGTAAGGATAAAAATCCTGAATAGCTCTTCTAAATGATTAATAGAAAGATAAATGAAAAAGCTTTTACTGGAAGAAAATATTTGATCACATAACTAATGGCAATATAATGTACGTAGTGGGTTATATGATTTCAAGTTGTGTAGGCAACTTCCAGGTTGGCACTGCCAAACTGAAGCACTTCATTCTGCAGTTCAGCATCTTTGTTTCAAGCTTTGCGTAATGCAGGTTGTAGCATTTGGTACAGCAAAATACAAGCATTTTCATAGCATGTTTGTTAAATTTGTGATGGAAGAGGAGAAGGAGTTTTGATTAAAAAGGGAATGAAGAAAACTTTAAAGATGTTCATATATTTAGGATGCGTGGTATGTCTTATAAATGCTAAATGACCCTCCATATTTTTTCCTTTCTGTAGGCTGAAGAGTTGTTTCTGTGGGTTCCAAGAAAGCTATTGATGACAGTTGAATCAGCTAAAAATTCAGTATTAGGTAAGAGGTTAAATAAATTCATAGCAAGAATGTGGTGTGTGTGGGATTGTTCAATAGGAGATTTTCTTTTTTTAGCTGATCTTTTTTACCACAGGACTTGCTTAGCATCCTGACCATTAGGTTTGGAATATTTAGAAGCCTGAAGTGCAAGTGGAAATAATTTAAATTTCCTTTTGGTTTCTGCCTGTGTATGCTCTTATCTTCCAGAAGTATGTGTCATTTTGAACACATTATGTAACTTGTTAAATACTTAGAGATAAGATACTCTCAGCATCTTTGTACAGAGTTATTGGTGGAAAAAACATGAAGAAAGTAAAACAAACAACTGTACAAGGCACTGACGTATCAAATAATTTGGAGCACAATATGATATGAGCAGCCAAATACCTTAACAATATGAAAAGCTATTGTTATTTCTTCATATCTTTTAAAAATAAATCTAGGATGATATTTTATAGGGCAATTAATTTAATGCCTCATCTTCATGGGTTAATTCAGGGTCGCTGTACTCTCAAGATCGGATTCTTCAAGCCATGGGCAATATAACCTTGGCCTTCCATCTTCTTTGCGAGCGAGCCAACCCCAGCTCTTTCTGGCTGCCCTACATCCAGACTCTCCCCAACGAGTACGATACTCCACTCTATTTTGAAGAAGATGAGGTGCAGTATCTTCAGTCAGCTCAGGCCATACATGATGTTTTTAGCCAATATAAAAACACAGCTCGACAGTATGCCTATTTCTACAAAGTTATTCAGGTAAGTATCTTAAATGGAGTGCATAACATATGCTGTCCCCATTATGCTTCTTGAGAAGGGCATGAAAACAATGCTGCTAAGTAATAGAGGAAATGTTTTGGTGTTCAAAACACTGAGAAGGTTTAAATCATCAAGTTTATTTCCTGCTGTTCTTTTGACTGCTATTAAAGCTTCACAGGTTTGTTTAAGAACGTATTTAGTATCTTAAGGAAAAATGTTTACTCCCCTCCAATTGCCACTGGTGAGACTTCTGGAGAATTGCACAGTGGTGCCCCCTCAGCACAAGACAGATGTTGACAAAGTAGGGTGAGTTCAGAGATGGGCTACTAAGATGTTGTGTGCTTCAGCCCTTTAGCCATACAGGGAGAGGCTGAGGGAACTGGATTTGGGCAGCCTGGAGGAAAGGAGGTGAGCAGTGATCCAATAAGTGTTTTCAGCTACCTTGTTTTGGCCAGACTCCAGAAGTTTATCTGGAGGAAGTTGGGCTAGATGACCTCCAGAGATCTCCCAGAACTCATGTCTCTGACTCTATGAAAAAAATACAGTTTGCAATAAACAATAAAAATATATATGACTGTTGGTTACCACAGGAAAAGTAATGTATTTTATTTTTAATGACTGGATTAACTGTTTCTTTCTATTCTCTGTAACTTAGTAAGTATTTTGATTGCCCTAAAAAACATAGGTAAACCTGTCCGGTAGCTATTGGAGTATGTGGAGCCTTGAGACAGATTGTCTTCCCACTGTGCTTCTGAAATAACAATTTAAATTATATTTCTAAAGTAGAACTACTGTTTGACTGATACGTAGATGTAATTGGTGTTGCAGATAAGTGGTGATGGGCTGTTGTCTCTGCAGTGGCTGCTTGTGGCACAATCTATCTAAGAACATATGACTGTAGGTGTAGTGAACTTTCACCAGAAGTGTGTGGTCCTTTTTTGGCAGCAGGATAGGTCAGAATAAAACAGAATGATTCTATTCTCATTTAATTCTATCAGCATTTCATATTAACTATTTTAAATTAGCAAAGTTCAAATTATTTTGCTCAACTGCTTACTGTTTAAAGAACTTCACACACGTGTGTGTATGAGACAGTGCTCTTTTACCAAGTATTTTGAGCACTTTATGAATGCAGGAATACTTGAAAGCTCCAGTCATTGGAGATAGTAGATATATATCAAGTAAGATGCCCTTCACTTTGAGGCAAGGGATATGACTAGTGGCTTTAATATCAGGAAAGAGCAATGTTCTCATTTCCAGGTGTCTCAATCCAGGGAAGGATAGTGTACCCAGCTCTCCTTTCAGGCCATGTGCTTATTCTAGGCTTGCAGTTCATATTTGGCATTCCAGCTTTTCACTTTTTCTAAAACAGTTCTGTCTGAGCAACAGAGCTACTGCATTTTATTCATTTAGAGCAGTGGTTTTTTTATCCCCAATTAGTTCTACTGTTTTTAAAGAATATTGTGTAACATGTTATGCAATTCTGCCACCTACTATTTATGTTCTTGCAACACATAATCAGATAGCTAAGCTATTACTATGACTAGCTCCATTCTTTCATTAACTAATCCTACAGTAGTAATGTTAAGTGTGAGAGCTTGCATGATCAGAACATTACTATTATTAGAAAATAATAGACATGAGGTGACTCTAGAGGCAAACTGTCTTCAGAACACTGTTGTGGCGATTTGCACTGTGCAACAAGCTTTTATGACTAGTATGTTCCATTGAATATTTGCATTTATGTAGAAACTGCTACAGTACCTGTTGGAGGAAGTATTCTCAGTCCGATGTTGTTTGGGCTGGGATCTAGTTGGTTTGATTCCTGGGGCTGGGAAACCTTTGTGGAAGTCATATTTCAACAGATGGAAGTCCAAGCTCTGCATTAGAGCCCCACAGGAGGGCTTTAGTACTATGCTGTTGCCTTTTGTGCGAGTTGTTAAAATGTAGCTTCTGGCCACTTGTGGTCAAAACTCTAGACTTTTTTTTTTTTTAAATCTTCTGATGAATGTTTTATTTGTCATTTTATTTTTGTGTACAATATAGCTGCTCTTTAACATAAAAGACAAACATGAGGGTACATTATACAGGAATCATTTGTATGAATATAATTTACATATCGCACTTGGGTTTTTTTTTGTTTCAGTTCATTGGTTTTTGTTTGCTGAAAGGCAATAGGGGAAATTGCCGATGTGCTCCAGCTTGGTGTCTGCCAGGGAACCTCAATTTCAGCTGAAGGTTTTTTCAGTAGTGATCAGTACATGTCACATTAGGAAACTCCGTAACACAGCTGGCTCCAGGAGTGCCAAAGGAATGGCTAGGTTGCTATTATTAATCTTTTTGAAACTCATTGAAAAGTTTCAAGAACTGAGAAGATTCATAAATATAGTCCAATCTTTGTACAGAACACCTCTCTGAAATATTCAGCGAAGCCTCCTTGCCTTATTTCAAAATAAGCATGTGTGGTTGGGATCAAAGTCCTTGCTCTAAAAGGCTAAACAAGTCAGTATTTGGTAATCGTACTACTTTATGTAGTATTGAAAAATAGCTGCTGTTTGCTGGAAACATGATCAATACAGTACTGTTAAGAATAGAGGATTTTATGCAAAAGCTCTACAAGCAGAATCCTTATCATAATTAAGCTAGCAAAATAATGTGCTTTTTGCTGATGTGAGCTGCATTGACACTGGAAGGGTTACAGCTCTAACTGCCCAAGAAAAACCTTTACTTTTGTAGATGCAGCTTAAGTAACATCTCCAAAATTGTAGTGTAAATTATTTTAGGATTTGGACTGTTTCTCAGTTCTCCGTTTCTTGCTATTTCTGCTCTTGTGTGCTGCAGTGGCAACATAGATGGCTGCTTTGTGGGATTTATTCTTATTTATTTATTAAGGAAATTTCTATTTACCATGTGGAACAGTGATAAGCATTAACCTTAGCAGTGTTAACGTTAATACTAAAACACAAATAAAACAAGGTACATGTTAATCCAGGAGTTAATTATCTGATTACAATTAGCCAGACAATGCAGGTGCTAAAGATCTGTGCTAACCGTACTACAGTATCTGTCTTCTGTTTGTAAAATGTCTTAATTCTTTTTTTATTATTCTTTTTTTCAAAAGCAAGAGATTATAATTTGTGAAAGTGTGTGTGTGTAGGGGGAGAGTGCAGAGAAAAGTACAAATTAATCTTTCCTCCCCTAAAACAAAGTGCCAACTTTCATTGTTCAGAAAAGCTGAATTAATTTTGGTATCATTTTGCATGTGCTCAAATAACTCTGTGAGCAAAGTTGACCTAAAAAATACTAGCGATAATTTTTAAGATTCTTGAGCCTATCAAAAAGGGAATAAAAATTGAGAAACAACAGCATATAAATACAGGGAAAAAAAAAATGGAGGATCTATGAAAGTGAAAATCAGCGTCTTATATACCATCATTTCATTCAGAACTATTACTGCTTTAACATAATTATTTTTAAGGAAGCTGGACTGTGTGCTGGAATTTTAATACTGCTTCAGGCACACAGACTTTTTTTGTAATTTACATGTGTACTTTTTTAGTACAAAAAGCTGTCTTCTAACTATTTACTTTCTTTGTAGCTATTCAGTTGCAGAGAGTAGAACGTGCAGCATCTTGAAATAAAGAGTGTATGGATGATTTTCGAAAACACTAAAAGGAATATTTGTTCAATCAAAATACTCCTGCTGTGGCATTTTCAGTCTGTAGAACATGTCTTATGGCCAGAGGAGGCAATAAAGTGGTTAACAAATTATTAATTTGAATGCTTCGTTTTCTTTACAACACAGAATTGAACTGATATTAAAATATTTTTAATTCTGATAGCATATGTAGATTTGAACACTGCTTGCCTGATGCAGGTCTGTTTTATTTCTGTAGCTTCTCCGTAACGGTGCTTTTCTGAGAACACTGCAGCTCTTAACTCTTTGTTAAAGTGATTAGCCTGGATACACATGAGGAAGGGGCAGATTTATGCCCGTCACAGCTGTTGCAAGCCAGGCTGTAGTCTGGTTTGATAAGCAAAAGCAGGTGTGATATTGAGGAGACAAAAATAACCCCTTGGGCATGTTAGCTAGGCGCTGTAAACCACCCTGACACCTTTCTAAACATATGTAATTTGATAACTCAAAAATAGTTAGGAGCCGAAAGCTCTTAGATATGTACTTTAAAAGGTGTATGTGGATTATGCATTGCTATCAAAATACAGTGAGTGATCAAAAGTGCTTTAATTGTGGTAATTTTTAATATTAAGATATTTTTTGTGGTTGGATCCAAAGAGAAGTTTTGTAAACTACAGGATTTCCTTTTCCCTAGAAGGTAGCATGTCACTTCCATTAACATTTATGGCCATTGCATGTGTCACGAAGGGTGAACAGAGTCTAAATGTTTATGGTTTAATGGTGATTTTTTTTTCCTACCTTGAAATGTGGTATAATAAGCACAAGAGGGAGCCATACAGTTTGCAGACATTCACTGAGATTATATTCCTAAAGAAAACCCTTTGTAAAAAAGAATATGCAGTGGTTTCCTGCTCGACTCTTCCTCCCAGCTGCACCTGGGTGCTTGTTTATGGCTTCCTACAGAGAAGTTTTTGTAGATCAAAGCAGGGCACGGAGGCAAGGAGTGCTCTCGGAGCAGGTAGAAGTGCCAGAATGCTACTTAATCATTTTGGGCACTAAGTGTGAAGCAGTGTCGTGGCTTTTCCCCAAGTGTAGCAGACACTGTGGTAGAGGCTGAGAATCTGCTGTGCAAAACAGTCTGGGATGGCAGCTGCGCCCTGGCTTAGACACAGGTTTCTGCCCGTAGCTTCTGGCCTTTGGGGGATTAAGGGCTTTTCCGAAGGAGTCCCTGCAAGCGGAGGGAGTTAGCTCCCCTTGTGCTCACATTCGCTTATAAGGAAGATGTTGCTTGCCTGCTTGGTAGCATGCTAGGAAAAATGTTCAAATGTTTGAAATCCCTCAGATGTATTGCTCAGACGTACAT